AGAGAGACTAGAGAGAGACCAGAGAGAGACTAGAGAAAGACTAGAGAGAGACCAGAGAGAGACCAGAGAGAGAGACCAGAGAGAGACCAGAGAGAGACCAGAGAGAGACTAGAGAGAGACTAGAGAGAGACTAGAGAGAGACCAGAGAGAGACCAGAGAGAGAGACCAGAGAGAGAGACTAGAGAGAGAGACTAGAGGTGGGCGATATGGCCTAAAATGCATATTGCGGTATAATTTGGGACACAGACGGTATATATTGCGGTATAATTTGGTGTGTGAATTGTAGGTCTAGCAGGTTGTTGCATAAAATAGTCAAGATTGTTACTTATTTATATATTATAATCTAGTAGATATATTTGTAGTATAGTTGTGAGACAAATGCTGTAACATACATTATTTATGTATGTTACAGTAAAGACCATTTACTGTAAAAGCAAATAAAACTATTCATTTTTTATATTTTAAATATTCATTTAAAATATAAAAAAATCAAATGTTGAAATCAAAGCCTGTAGCAATATGGTCATTATTTATAGTGTCTGAGAGTTTAACTTTCCACCATTTACTTTGTTTAACAAAGTTAACAAAGCTTTCGTGAGCTATTGACCGCGGAGGTCCGAATCTGACGCCAACTTTCCCAAACTTCTGATGTGATGATGCTGCGGACATGGCACACGCATGGATCTATTTTGGCTCACGCTGGCGCTTCGAGCCTACACGATTGGCCTAAAGGTAGACTCTTAAACTGTGATTACTGTGTGTATTTACCTCTGTTGGGGCGCTGTGACAACAATACAGAAACACTGTGTGAATGCCGTGCTGTTGTTCGCTGTTTCCAGTGGTGTCTGCTAGGCTAATGCTGCTAGGCTAATGCTGCTAGGCTAATGTGCAAGGCTAATGCGCTAGGCTAATGTGCTAGGCTCATGCGCTAGGCTAATGTGCTAGGCTCATGCGCTAGGCTAATGTGCAAGGCTAATGTGCTAGGCTCATGCGCTAGGCTAATGTGCTAGGCTCATGCGCTAGGCTAATGTGCAAGGCTAATGTGCAAGGCTAATGTGCTAGGCTAATGTGCTAGGCTAATGTGCTAGGCTAATGTGCTAGGCTAATGTGCTAGGCTAATGTGCTAGGCTAATGTGCTAGGCTAATGTGCAAGGCTAATGTGCTAGGCTAATGTGCTAGGCTAATGTGCTAGGCTAATGTGCTAGGCTAATGTGCAAGGCTAATGTGCTAGGCTAATGTGCTAGGCTAATGTGCTAGGCTCATGCGCTAGGCTAATGCTGCTGAATGCCGGTTTGTTTTGGTCCTTTCTGCTGGCGTCAGAGCCTGCGCAATTTGATGACACAATGACCTATTGCAATATGCCGGTATAACAAAAAACTCTACCGTGGGCCAAATTTATATCGCATACCGCTTATACCGTTTATATCGCCCAGCCCTAAGAAAGACCAGAGAGAGACTAGAGAGAGACTAGAGAGAGACTAGAGAGAGACTAGAGAGAGACTAGAGAGAGACCAGAGAGAGACCAGAGAGAGACTAGAGAGAGACCAGAGAGAGACCAGAGAGAGACCAGAGAGAGACCAGAGAGAGACTAGAGAGAGACCAGAGAGAGAGACTAGAGAGAGACCAGAGAGAGACTAGAGAGAGACCAGAGAGAGACCAGAGAGAGACCAGAGAGAGACCAGAGAGAGACTAGAGAGAGACCAGAGAGAGAGACTAGAGAGAGAGACTAGAGAGAGAGACTAGAAAGAGAGACTAGAAAGAGAGACTAGAGAGAGAGACTAGAGAGAGAGACTAGAGAGAGATACTAGAGAGAGAGACTAGAGAGAGAGACTAGAGAGAGAGACTAGAAAGAGAGATTAGAGAGAGAGACTAGAGAGAGAGACTAGAGAGAGAGACTAGAGAGAGAGACTAGAGAGAGATACTAGAGAGAGAGACTAGAAAGAGAGACCAGAGAGAGACTAGAGAGAGAGACTAGAGAGAGAGACTAGAGAGAGAGACCAGAGAGAGACCAGAGAGAGACCAGAGAGAGACCAGAGAGAGAGACTAGAGAGAGAGACTAGAGAGAGAGACCAGAGAGAGAGACCAGAGAGAGAGACCAGAGAGAGACCAGAGAGAGAGACCAGAGAGAGAGACTAGAGAGAGAGACTAGAGAGAGAGACCAGAGAGAGACCAGAGAGAGACCAGAGAGAGACCAGAGAGAGAGACCAGAGAGAGAGACTAGAGAGAGAGACTAGAGAGAGAGACCAGAGAGAGACCAGAGAGAGACCAGAGAGAGAGACCAGAGAGAGAGACTAGAGAGAGAGACTAGAGAGAGAGACCAGAGAGAGACCAGAGAGAGACCAGAGAGAGACCAGAGAGAGAGACTAGAGAGAGAGACCAGAGAGAGACCAGAGAGAGACCAGAGAGAGAGACCAGAGAGAGAGACTAGAGAGAGAGACTAGAGAGAGAGACCAGAGAGAGACCAGAAAGAGAGACTAGAGAGAGAGACTAGAGAGAGACCAGAGAGAGACCAGAGAGAGACTAGAGAGAGACTAGAGAGAGAGACCAGAGAGAGACCAGAGAGAGACCAGAGAGAGACCAGAGAGAGACCAGAGAGAGACCAGAGAGAGACCAGAGAGAGACCAGAGAGAGAGTACATTTTTACTGTGGTTTGATGATGATATTTTAAATGTAACTTAATTTAAAAAGCTAAATCTATGTTTTAAATATCTGTATCTAACTGTATGAATATGTGCTGATGTCATGTGTTAGCATAGCACCCAGGCTAATGTGATATCCTGTTGTTTTAATTATACATGTTACAAATGTATCACTAGTTGTAATGTAAAGTATGGAAATATAATATAAAGATTAAAGGTTTAAATGAGGATTTTCCCAAATTTTAGCAAAGAACCTTCTCCACTTTTTGAACTAAACTCTGTGGTCTTATTTGACGACATATCTCCAGAATGATTGACAGTCGGGAGGACCAATAGTCTTGAGGATCCACCCGGAAATAGACAATCCTCCTATATACCTTTTAAGAAATTGTTTATTTGTCCCACAGTGGGAAAATGTCAGTGTTGTAGCACAAGTTACAGACAGAAAGAATGATGAATAAATTGATAATACAATATTTTTTCTTTAGCCTAATAAAGATGGAAGTTTAAATTATATATAGTTGTGTGTATACATCAGTACTAGCCTGTCTCCCACTGGTCTCCCACTGGTCTCTCTCTGGTCTCTCTCTGGTCTCTCTCTGGTCTCTCTCTGGTCTCTCTCTGGTCTCTCTCTGGTCTCCCACTGGTCTCCCACTGGTCTCTCTCTGGTCTCTCTCTGGTCTCTCTCTGGTCCCTCTCTGGTCTCTCTCTGGTTTCTCTCTCTGGTCTCTCTCTCTCTGGTCTCTCTCTGGTCTCTCTCTCTCTGGTCTCTCTCTCTGGTCCCTCTCTCTGGTCTCTCTCTGGTCTCTCTCTCTGGTCCCTCTCTCTGGTCTCTCTCTGGTCTCTCTCTCTCTCTAGTCTCTCTCTGGTCTCTCTCTGGTCTGTCAATGGTTTCTCTCTGGTCTCTCTCTCTAGTCTCTCTCTGGTCTCTCTGGTCCCTCTCTCAGGTCTCTCTCTCTGGTCTCTCATTGGTCTCTCTCTGGTCTCTCTGGTCTCTCTCTGGTCTCTCTCTCTGGTCTCTCTCTGGTCTCTCTCTGGCCTTCCTCTGCTCTCTCTCTGGCCTCTCTCTGGTCTCTCTCTGGTCTCTCTCTCTGGTCTCTCTCTAGTCTCTCTCTGGTCTCTCTCTGGTCTCTCTCTGGTCTCTCTAGTCTCTCTCTGGTCTCTCTCTGGTCTCTCTCTGGTCTCTCTCTGGTCTCTCTCTCTGGTCTCTCTCTGGTCTCTCTCTGGTCTCTCTCTCTGGTCTCTCTCTGGTCTTGCTGGTTGTAGTTTGTCGGAGAATGCGATAGTAAAATAATCCGTTCTGGTTCGATCCAAATACCAACCAGTCAAATCCACTCCTAACGAGACCCATGTCCAGACCTGGATCAAACCTGGACTGGGGCAGGACCAAACACAGACCAGGACTAAACCAAGTGTAAAACCAGGTGAGACCAGAATATGGTCTGACTTCCTGCAAACACACTTCTGATCCCAGACCAGGCCCTCAGTGAAACACACAACTACTGTTTTTATTCTGTTTGGATGATTTTATATTAAAACTGAAAAGCTCAAGTATTTTTATTTTATTTATTTATTTATAATAATAACAGGGACATTAATAAAAACATGTTTAATTAATCAGACGTTCTGATTAGTCTGATTAGCAGAACGAGGACATTGCAGAAGACTACTATAAAAAACTGATGCACAAGATGAAAAGGTCATGGGTTCGATTCCCGCTTTTCTATGTGGCGTTTGAGCCTGGGTGGGTTTCCTCCAGGTGCTCCGGAGATTATTTCAGTAAGTTATGTTTTTTTAACACAAAACATAATGATCAAATAACACAATAAAATCCTCAAAATTACTACGGCCTAAAAGAGTATTTTAAGACATCAATTTATTATTTTTTATTTTTTCAGCAACAAGAGGAAGTAGAAGACACTGCAGGATGTGTCACATGTGTGTCCAATGTGCTTTAAATGCAAACAGTCGAATTAACTTAAAGGTGCAGTATTAAGCAATTTCTTTAGCTTAGCCGTAGCACTGACTTCAAAGCACCCCCCCCCCCCTTCACCAAACCACTCCCCCTCCCCTCCCTCTCCCACCACACCACCCTATAATGATGACAGATTAGGGCCCTTTAAAGATGACAGATTAGGGCCCTTTAATGATGACAGATTAGGGACCTTTAAAGTTGACAGATTAGGGCCCTTTAATGATGACAGATTAGGGCCCTTTAACGATGACATATTAGAGCCCTTTAATGATGAGAGATTAGAGCCCTTTAATGATGACAGATTAGAGCCCTTTAATGATGACAGAGTAGGGCCTTTTAAAGACTACAGATTAGGGCCCTTTGATGTGATCACTCTGTTTCTTCTTCTACACGTCTCGGCCGTCGCCGTGGCTGAGAGAGCTCATGAGGACCGGGCTCTCCGTTTGTTTGGGTTCTTGGTTCTGGTCCAGGAGTAACTCTCTCTCCAGCTCCTCCCACTTTCTCCAGGCGGCTCCTGATTGGTTCAGTTTGGTCTGAATCTGGTCTTGAGCCATGGTCTTGATCTGCTGCTCCATAGTGAGCTCGGCCTCCTCTAGGACGGCTGCAGGCCAGTCCGTGGACACACCCCAGCGTCCCCATGGTAACCAGGACAAGATGGCTGACGTGAGGAACACCACGAGCACCAGCAGAAGTCCGATCACCTTTAAACAAAAGAGGTTTGCAATATTATTGAGACATCACACAATTATTTATTTATTTATTTATGAATGCACGGGTAACGGCTTTTTCTGCCTGAGATGTTGCTGCAGTTCAGTGTTAATGGTTTTACACTGGTCCAGACCAGAGCAGAGAGGATTCATGGTTTTACACTGGTCCAGACCAGAGCAGAGAGGATTCATGGTTTTACACTGGTCCAGACCAGAGCAGAGAGGATTCATAGTTTTACACTGGTCCAGACCAGAGCAGAGAGGATTCATGGTTTTACACTGGTCCAGACCAGAGCAGAGAGGATTCATGGTTTTACACTGGTCCAGACCAGAGCAGAGAGGATTCATGGTTTTACACTGGTCCAGAGCAGAGCAGAGAGGATTCATGGTTCGAACCAAGTGGATCAGGTGAAATGGAGGAATGCTAACTCTTTGAAAAATGCTAATGAAGCATTTATCATTTTACTTTGGACCAGAGGTTCTGCTGCTGTGACCTGAAGGACTGTTATTATTATTACTATTCTTAGATACTTTTAGAATTATACATTTTAAGTTTTATTTTTGCTGCTACTGGACTCCTGCATTTCTCCGACGGGGATCATAAAGTATCTACCTCTCTATCTACAGTATGCATCTATGTCTCTATCTATGTATGTGTTTTATTTCCGGAACAGTCCGTCAGGGGAAGAGCCCGATCCTTGTGAAAGATTTGCTCTTGAAATAATGTAGAAACCAGTTTGGTAAATCCTCCACAGCCGCTCTCTTCCTGTCACTGATGTCTTTGTGTTGATCTCACCACTTCCTGTTGCTCTAGACCAGTTTGACCACAAAACCAACAAACACTTTCAATACACGTCAAATACGGTGAAGGTTTTATGATTTCAAAAACTAAGATGAACCAAAAGAATGTGTCACAACATCTTTCAACATGATTCATAAATTTGTGTTCTTTTATTTTGTGTATAGAATAAACCAGTGTGGGCGGGTCCTGGCTCAAAAGTGGCCAAAATGACGTGCGCTGACATGCTGCAATACCACCCCAGGCCTGTGGGGGTGGACCCGGAAGAAGAATTAGCCAATGCTAAAATCCTTCCCAACAATTCACAACACCCAACCACATAATCAATCCCAATTATATCCCCACCAACCAATAACAAAACACACAAACCCATCACAAACCCCTACCCCCACACCCTCCACCCCAAACTACAACCCCACCCCAACCAACCCCCACCCACCACACCACACCAAAACTCCCCAACACCCAAACCAACACCCCCCAACAAACCAACACACCCACCACCCCAAACCCACAAACCCCCCACACCCCCAACACCCCAACACCAAAACCCCAACCCCCCCCCCCCACACCCCCCACCCCCCCCACACACACCCCCCCACCCCCCCACACCCCCCACAACACAACCCACCCAACACAAACCCCACCAAAAAACAACCCACCACACAACCCCCCCCACCCCCACACCAACCCCAAACCCCACCACCAACAAACACACACAACACACCCCAACCAAACAACCACAAAACAACCCAACCCCCCCCCCACAAACCAACAACAACCCCCCCCCCCCACCCCCCCAACCCCCCAACCCCCCACCCCCACCCCAAACCCAACAACCAAAACACCAAACACCCACCACACCACACACCCCCACCCCACACACCCCCCCCCGACCCCCCCACCCCCCACCACCACCACAAACACACAACCCCAACTCCATCCATCCCCCCCAACCAAAAAAAACAACCCCACCACAACCCCCCCACCCAACCACCCCCCAACCCCCCACCCACCCAACCACACCATCCCTCCCCACACCACCACAACCACCACCCCCCCCCCCCCCCAATCATTAACAAACATACACAACCACACCCAACCCCACCCACCAAACACCAACCCACAAACACAACAAACTCCAAAACACAACCAACAACCCCACCCACCCAATCAACACCCCCCAAAACCCCAACAACAACACCAAACAACACACACCCCACAACCCACACAAAACCAACACCACACCACAACCCCCCACCACACACACACCACACAAACCCCCATCACACCCATACCACAATCAAACCCCAACACACCCCCCCCCCCCCCCCACACCAAACCAAAACAAACCCCCACCACCCACCACCCCCCCCACCCACAACCACAAAACCCCCCCCCAACAACATACCCCCCCCCCCCCAACTCCCCCAACAAACCCCCATCCAACCCCACCCAAACCACCCTAACCCACCAAAACCTATCCATTCACCCAACACAAACCACATCAAACATTCATTCTAATATATACCTACCCCACCCAACAACCCCCCCCAACCACCCCCACAACCATAATCACCCCCCCAAAAACACCACCACTCAACCACCACCCACACACTCTACAAAATAACCCACACCAACACCCCCCCCAACACCCACACAAAACCACAAACCCCCCTAACACCCCCCCACCCACACCAACACAAACCACCCATCCCCCCCCCAACCCCCACCTCCCCACTCACCCCCCCCACCCACAACCCCACACCCATTACCAACAAATACCCCCCCCCCACCCAAACCACAATACCTAACACAATCCTCCATCTTCAACCTTCCTCAACCTCCACACCCCAATCTCACTCATACCAACATCACAACACCACCTACTAAAAAAACCCCCCAATCCCTCAATCACAAAACCCCAACAAAATTCTTTCTTCTACCTTCTTCTAAACCCCCCCTACCTTATCCCCCACCACACCCCTACTCCAACCCCCCCCCAACCCCCTCATCCCCTTACTAACAATCCAATTAACCTAATCACCCTTATTTTTCAACCTCCCCCCTTATCCCACCTTACCCACCCCCCCTTTTTCTCTACACAATCACCACACAAAACCAACAACCCACATTCTAACTCTCCCTCCCATTAATCAATCTTAATCTTATCTACTCCTCCCCATCCCCCAACACCCTCATTCCCTTACCATTTCTAACAAATTATTCCATTAATCATTCATTCTATCAAACCATACCCCCCCCCCCTCATCCCAACTCCACTTCCCATTCTAAACACAACCCAACCAACACCCCCCCCCCCCCCACACAACCCACACCCTCCCCCCCCCACCCCCCACCCCCACCAAACCCCTCTAAATAAATAAACATCCCATAAAAAATACAACCCCCAACCCTACTACCCTACCCCCCTCAACATAACACCACAAACCCCCACCACCAACAAACCCTTACCCAAACCCCCCCACTACTATTATCATATTATATAACATAATAACTAAATATATCCATATCCTAAAATTAAATAAAATATAATAAAATAATCAAATCTATAAATCAAATAAATATAAACCCAACCCCCCCCCACACCCCCCCAACACCCCCCCCCCCCCAACCAACCACAAACACCCAACCACCCCCCCACACCCCCCCACCCAAAAAACCCCCCCCCCCCCCCACCACCAAACCAATACACCCCCCATAACACCCACCAACCCCACAAACCACACACCCCACCACACCACACCCCACCCCACTAACACCTCCCACACCCAACCACCCCAAACACCACCACCCAAACCACCCCCCCCCCCCTCTCAACCCCCCCCTAACCCTCACAAACCACCCAAAACCCCCTACCCTCCCACCACCCCCACCCAAACCCCCACCACACCCCACAACACCCCCAACCACAACCAAAACCAACACCCCCCAACCACCCCACCCAAAACCCCACCCCCCCCACACACCCCCACCCTCCCCCCCCCAACAAACCAAACTCAACAACACCACACAATCCCCCCTCACAACACCCACACACACCCCCACACACACACAACATCCCCACACACACCCCAAACATCACACCCCACTCACAACACACTCATCCACACTCACCACAACAAACACCTCAACACACACACTCACCACACAACACCTCACTCACACCACACTCACCCACACACTCTCCCCACACACACCCCTTCACTCTCACACCACTCACACCCACTCACACCCACACACAAACCACTCAACTACACACACCCACACTACACAACACACACCCACACACACACCACACCCACACCCCAAACACACACACACACACCACACACTCTCCACTATACCCCCACACACACCACCACACTACACACCACACATAAAATCCCCTCTCATCTTCCACACTCACACCTCTCACTCCACTCATCTCTCCCCCTTCTCTCTCCCACTACACTCCCCACATTCTCACAACCACACACCCACAACAAACCCAAACCCACCCCCCACCCAAACCCCACCCAACCCACAAAACCACCTCCACAACAAACAACAAACCTATCCCACCAACAACTCACACCACCACCAAAACCCATAACCACCCCAACCACAACACAAACCCCCACACCCACCCCCCCCCCCCCACCAACCCCCCCCCACCACCCCCACACCCCACAACCCACAAAAACACCCACCACACACCCCCCCCCCCCCCCCCCCCCCCACCCCCCCAAAACCAACCCACACCCCCCCCCCCAACCAACCACACCCCCCCCACACAAAACACCAAAACAAAACCACCCCAACCAAAAACACACCAACCACAACACCACAACCACAACCCACCACCCCAACAACAAAAACACCACCAAAACACCAACCACAACACACCAACCAAAAAACCCCAACCTACAACCCCACCACACAACAACAAAACCACCAACCACAAACCACAACAACATCACCACCAACACAACACCACCCCCAACCACACACCACCCAACCACAACACCACCCAACCACACCAAACCAACCACAAACACCAACCAAACCACCACCAACCACAACACCACCCAAACAACACAACACCAACCACTAACACTAACCCAAACACCATCCCTAAAAACAAACAACCCACACCCCACACCCCCCACACACACCAACACCCCCCCCCCCCCCCCCCCACCCCCCCACCACCACCCCCCCCCCCACACCCCACCACCCAACACCCCCCCCAACCCAAACCCCACCCCCCCCCCCACCCCACCCCCCCCACCAACCCCAAACACAACCCCACCCCCCCAACAAAAAACCCCCAATAATACAAACAACAACCCCATACTAAACCAAACCCCCCCTCACCCCAAAACCCCCCCCAAACAAAAAAAAAACAACCAAACCCACCCAAACCCCCCACACCCACCCCCCCCCTCAACCCCCCCCCCACCACCCCAACCCCCCACACCCCCCCACACACCCCCCCCCACACACACCAAACCACCCCCCAAAACTCACACATCCCCCACCCACCCCCCAACCCCCCACCAAACAAACCAAAAACAACCCACAAACCCACCCCCCCCAATACTTACTTTCCCCCCCCAAATCCCCACCAAACCACTAACTAATCAAAAAACATCCAACAACCACCAAAACAAACAAAAACCCTCTAACCACACCCCTATTATAAACACACCCCCCCACCCACCACCCCAAACCCCCCCCCCCCCCCCCCCCCCCCACAAAAAACAATACCCACCCCCCCACCCCCACCCCACAAACACCCACCCACAACACAACCCCACCACCCCCCCCCACCCCCCCACCCCCCCCCACCACATCCCCCACCCACCACCCCAAACACCCCACCCCCCCAACACCCCCCCCCCCACCCCCCCCACAACCCACCCCCCCCACCCACCAACCCCCAACAAACAAAAAACACCCCCACCCAACAAACCCACCCCCCACACCCCCCACCCCCCACCCCCCCCCCCCCCCCCCCCCAAAACAAAAAAAAACACACAAACCCCCCCACCCCCCCCAACCCCCACCCCCCCACCCAACCACCCACCCACAAAAAACAAACCCCACCCCAACACCCCACCCCACCAAACCCCCCCCAACCCCCCCCCCCCCAACCCCACCCACCCCCCCCCCCCACAAACCCCCCCACACACAACCCACCCCCCAACCAACCCCCCCCCCCCCCCCCCCCCCCCCCAACCCACTAAAACACCCCCCAAACCAACACCCCCCCACACACCCCCCACCACACCCCCCACACAACCCCACCCCCCCACCACCCCCCACCCACACACCCCCACCTCAACACACCCCACCACCACCCCCCCACACCACCACCCACACACCCAACCCACCCCCCCAACCACACACCCCCACCACCCAACCCCCAACAAACACCCAAACACAACCACCACCCCCCACAACCCCAACCCCCCACCCCCCACCCCCCCACCCAACACCCCCACACCTCCCACCCACCCAACAAAACCCCACCCCACCCACACCCACCCCCCATAACCCCCCCCCCCACCCCCCCCTTCACCTCCATCACCTATCAAACACCCACAACCTCCACCCCCCATACATATCCCATCCTCACCACCCACTCTTAATTACCATTAAATACCCTTAATCATCATCTATTACTCCCCAAAACCCCCCCCCCCCCCCCCCCCCCCCCACTAAAAACCAATCATCCCCCACAAAACAACAACCCCCCCCCCACCACCAACCACCCCCCCACCTAACAACCCAACTACCACATACCCCCCCCACCCCCCCCAACCCCCCCACACCCAACCCCCCCACCCCCCCCAACACCCACACAAACCACCACAACACAACCACCCCCACACCTCCACACCCCCCACACACCCCAAACCCAACACCCCACCCACCCCCCCACCCAACCACCACCCAACAAAAAAACCCAACACCCACAAACCCACCCCCCCCCCCCCCCCCCACCACACACCCAACACCACCCCCACAACCCCCACCCCCCACCCCCCACCACCACCCCACACACACCCCCCCCCACCCCCACCCCCCCCCAAACACACCACCCCCACCCCAACCAACACCCCACCCACCCCCCCCCACAAACCCCCCCCCCCCCCCCCCAACACAAAACACCACACCACACAAACCACCCCCAACACCAACCCCCCACACCACAAACAACCAACCAACCCCCCACACCACCCCCCAACCCCAACAACAACCACCACCCACCCCCCCCACCCCCCCCCCACCAACCCCCACCAACCCACCAAAAACCTCCCCCACAACAACCAACACCAAAACACCCCCCCCCCCCCCCCAACCCCACCCCACCAACCCACACCCCCACCCCACCCCACCCCCCCCCCACCACACCCCCACCACCCCCACACCACACCCCAAACCCAAAACCACACACAACCCCCACCAAACACCACCCACCAAACAAACCAAAAACACAAACCACAACAACAACCCCCCCCCCCCCCCCACCCACCACCCCCACACCCACACACCCCCAACAAAACCCCCAAACCCCCCCAACCCCCCCCCCCACCCCCCACCCAAACCACAAACAAACCCCCCCAACCACAACCACCAACCCCCACCCCCACAACCACCCACACAAAACCCCCCAACACCCACCCCCCCAACCCCCCCCACCCCACCCACCACCAACCCCCAACACCCACCCACCCACCCCACCCACAAACAACACACACACAACCCTCCAAAAACCCCCAACCCCCCCACCCCCCCCCCACCCCCCACCCCCCCCC